ACCAAACACCCATACCAAACACCAACACCCTCCACCCATACCCTCCACCCACACCCTCCACCCACACCCTCCACCCATACTCTCCACCCACACCCTCCACCCATACCCTCCACCCATACCAAACACCAACACCCTCCACCCATACCCTCCACCCACACCCTCCAACCACACCCTCCACCAATACTTTCCACCCACACCCTCCACCCATACCAAACACCAACACCCTCCACCCATACCCTCCACCCACACCCTCCACCCACACCCTCCACCCATACTCTCCACCCACACCCTCCACCCATACCCTCCACCAACACCCTCCACCCATACTCTCCACCCATACCCTCCACCCATACCCTCCACCCACACCCTCCACCCACACCCTCCACCCACACCCTCCACCCATACCCTCCACCCACATCCTCCACCCACACCCTCCACCCACACCCTCCACCCATACTCTCCACCCATACCCTCCACCCATACCCTCCACCCATACCCTCCACCCATACCCTCCACAAACACCCTCCACCCATACCCTCCACCCATACCCTCCACCCACACCCTCCACCCATACTCTCCACCCATACTCTCCACCCATACCCTCCACCCATACCCTCCACCCACACCCTCCACCCATACTCTCCACCCATACCAAACACCCATACCAAACACCAACACCCTCCACCCATACCCTCCACCCACACCCTCCACCCACACCCTCCACCCACATCCTCCACCCATACCCTCCACCCACACCCTCCACCCATACTCTCCACCCATACTCTCCACCCATACTCTCCACCCATACCCTCCACCCATACCCTCCACCCATACCCTCCACCCATACCAAACACCAACACCCTCCACCCATACCCTCCACCCACATCCTCCACCCATACCCTCCACCCACACCCTCCACCCATACTCTCCACCCATACTCTCCACCCATACTCTCCACCCATACCCTCCACCCATACCCTCCACCCATACCCTCCACCCATACCAAACACCAACACCCTCCACCCATACCCTCCACCCATACCCTCCACCCACACCCTCCACCCATACTCTCCACCCATACCCTCCACCCATACCCTCCACCCACACCCTCCACCCACACCCTCCACCCACACCCTCCACCCATACCCTCCACCCACATCCTCCACCCACACCCTCCACCCACACCCTCCACCCACACCCTCCACCCATACTCTCCACCCATACCCTCCACCCATACCCTCCACCCATACCCTCCACCCATACCCTCCACCAACACCCTCCACCCATACCCTCCACCCATACCCTCCACCCACACCCTCCACCCATACTCTCCACCCATACTCTCCACCCATACCCTCCACCCATACCCTCCACCCACATCCTCCACCCACACCCTCCACCCACACCCTCCACCCATACCCTCCACCCATACTCTCCACCCATACCCTCCACCCACACCCTCCACCCACACCCTCCACCCATACTCTCCACCCACACCCTCCACCCATACTCTCCACCCACACCCTCCACCCACACCCTCCACCCATACTCTCCACCCATACCCTCCACCCACATCCTCCACCAACACCCTCCACCCATACCCTCCACCCATACCCTCCACCCACACCCTCCACCCATACTCTCCACCCATACCAAACACCAACACCCTCCACCCATACCCTCCACCCACATCCTCCACCCACACCCTCCACCCATACCCTCCACCCACACCCTCCACCCATACTCTCCACCCATACCAAACACCAACACCCTCCACCCATACCCTCCACCAACACCCTCCACCCATACTCTCCACCCATACCCTCCACCCATACCAAACACCAACACCCTCCACCCATACCCTCCACCCACACCCTCCACCCACACCCTCCACCCATACTCTCCACCCACACCCTCCACCCATACCCTCCACCAACACCCTCCACCCATACTCTCCACCCATACCCTCCACCCATACCCTCCACCCACACCCTCCACCCACACCCTCCACCCACACCCTCCACCCATACCCTCCACCCACATCCTCCACCCACACCCTCCACCCACACCCTCCACCCATACTCTCCACCCATACCCTCCACCCATACCCTCCACCCATACCCTCCACCCATACCCTCCACCAACACCCTCCACCCATACCCTCCACCCATACCCTCCACCCACACCCTCCACCCATACTCTCCACCCATACTCTCCACCCATACCCTCCACCCATACCCTCCACCCACACCCTCCACCCATACTCTCCACCCATACCAAACACCCATACCAAACACCAACACCCTCCACCCATACCCTCCACCCACACCCTCCACCCACACCCTCCACCCATACTCTCCACCCACACCCTCCACCCATACCCTCCACCCATACCAAACACCAACACCCTCCACCCATACCCTCCACCCACACCCTCCAACCACACCCTCCACCCATACTTTCCACCCACACCCTCCACCCATACCCTCCACCCACACCCTCCACCCACACCCTCCACCCATACTCTCCACCCACACCCTCCACCCATACTCTCCACCCACACCCTCCACCCACACCCTCCACCCATACTCTCCACCCATACCCTCCACCCACATCCTCCACCAACACCCTCCACCCATACCCTCCACCCATACCCTCCACCCACACCCTCCACCCATACTCTCCACCCATACCAAACACCAACACCCTCCACCCATACCCTCCACCCACATCCTCCACCCACACCCTCCACCCATACCCTCCACCCACACCCTCCACCCATACTCTCCACCCATACCAAACACCAACACCCTCCACCCATACCCTCCACCAACACCCTCCACCCATACTCTCCACCCATACCCTCCACCCATACCAAACACCAACACCCTCCACCCATACCCTCCACCCACACCCTCCACCCACACCCTCCACCCATACTCTCCACCCACACCCTCCACCCATACCCTCCACCAACACCCTCCACCCATACTCTCCACCCATACCCTCCACCCATACCCTCCACCCACACCCTCCACCCACACCCTCCACCCACACCCTCCACCCATACCCTCCACCCACATCCTCCACCCACACCCTCCACCCACACCCTCCACCCATACTCTCCACCCATACCCTCCACCCATACCCTCCACCCATACCCTCCACCCATACCCTCCACCAACACCCTCCACCCATACCCTCCACCCATACCCTCCACCCACACCCTCCACCCATACTCTCCACCCATACTCTCCACCCATACCCTCCACCCATACCCTCCACCCACACCCTCCACCCATACTCTCCACCCATACCAAACACCCATACCAAACACCAACACCCTCCACCCATACCCTCCACCCACACCCTCCACCCACACCCTCCACCCATACTCTCCACCCACACCCTCCACCCATACCCTCCACCCATACCAAACACCAACACCCTCCACCCATACCCTCCACCCACACCCTCCAACCACACCCTCCACCCATACTTTCCACCCACACCCTCCACCCATACCCTCCACCCACACCCTCCACCCACACCCTCCACCCATACTCTCCACCCATACTCTCCACCCATACCCTCCACCCATACCCTCCACCCACACCCTCCACCCATACCCTCCACCCATACCCTCCACCCACACCCTCCACCCACACCCTCCACCCACATCCTCCACCCACATCCTCCACCCATACCCTCCACCCATGCCCCACGACCACACCTCCACCCATACCAAACACCCACACCCTCCACCCACATCCTCCACCCACACCCTCCACCCATACTCTCCACCCATACCAAACACCAACACCCTCCACCCATACCCTCCACCAACACCCTCCACCCATACCCTCCACCCATACCCTCCACCCATACCCTCCACCCACACCCTCCACCCATACTCTCCACCCATACCCAACGCCAACACCCTCCACCCATACCCTCCACCCATACCCTCCACACACACCCTCCACACACACCCTCCACACACACCCTCCACACACACCCTCCACACACACCCTCCACCAACACCCTCCACCAACACCCTCCACCAACACCCTCCACCCATACCCTCCACCAACACCCTCCACCCATACCCTCCACCCACACCCTCCACCCATACTCTCCACCCATACCAAACACCAACACCCTCCACCAACACCCTCCACCCATACCCAACACCAACACCCTCCACCCATACCCTCCACCCACACCCTCCACCCATACCCTCCACCCATACCCTCCACCCATACCCTCCACCCACACCCTCCACCCACACCCTCCACCCATACCCTCCACCCATACCCTCCACCCACACCCTCCACCCATATCCTCCACCCATGCCCTCCACCAACACCCTCCACCCATACCCTCCACCCACACCCTCCACCCATACCCTCCACCAACACCCTCCACCCACATCCTCCACCCATGCCCAACGACCACACCCTCCACAACACCCTCCACCCACATCCTCCACCCATACCCCACACCAACACCCTCCACCCATACCCTCCACTCATACCCAAAACCCACACCCTCTACCCACATCCTCCACCCATACCTAACACCAACACCCTCCTCCCCCACCCTCCACCCATACCCCAAACCCACAGCCTCCACCCACATCCTCCACTCATACCCCACACCAACACCCTCCACACACACCCTCCACCCATACCCAACGTACTCCAACACCCTCCACCACACCCTCCACCATATCCATCACCACTCATCACCCATTCCCTCCACCACCTGTACCCTCTAGTTATACCTGCCACACAATAGCCACAAAACATCGCTTCCCATCTGTCATCTCAGGACCTAAGCCAGCTTGATACAGGAAAAACCAGTACTGAATTACTTAAACTTAAACATCTTTCCCTTTATTCAAATCTTCGTAAGAGGTATGTCATGAAAGTATATCTAGACATGTTTACATAAGTGTGTTAAGCACCTCTGTTCCCAATAGGCTCTGTATGTATAGAGGTGGCCGTGCAATGAGTACCTGTTGCTGTTGTGCTATGTACAATGGATCGCTGAAATAAACGTGACTGCTACCAACCAGTCATGGTCTGTTTATTTTCAGCTGCGACATTGTCACCCCAGTAGGTGAAGAAGACAGTCCCTTATTGACCACCAGACCTGTACCCTGTCCACTCACTGTCCAGTCATACCAGGTAGGTGAAGATTTCACTGTTTAATATCTTGGGGAACTGATCATCTGATAACTGGTGTACATGTCCAGACTGGCAGCTATGAACGATTTCTTTGTATGGCTCACAGAACAGGTTTACCTTGGTCATGCTGAAGCTATGCCTGGAACACATGATGTACACACCGACTAACGGGGTGTTGTGTCTATCAAACTGCAGGGACTACAGCGACTGAAATGTATTTTTCTTCCTAGTGTGCCACAGGGAACTCCTTAACATGTTTCGGTCTACCATTTGGAATTTTAGTGGCCAACGAGAAAAATTTGATCAATAAACTAATAGGTTATTTGAAATGTCTGTTGTCACGCTTTAATACTTGTACACATCCAATGTCGCATACTCGTCAGTATGGTCATGACATTGGTCATGAAAGTATCATATCAAATATTTACTGAAAGATATCAAATTCAGGGTTTTACCTTGACCTACAGAACTAGGGGTGATTACTATTTTGAAGGGCCCTTACAGGAAATATGAGGGTAAGGTCACGTGAAGAAATAATGGAGTGTGCTGTACTGTAACAATTAATTATTATTTTGATTACAGAAAGTTTATATTTCTTGTCAAGAATTTTGTACAATGAAAATTATTTATTATTTTGATTACAGAAAGTTTATATTTCTTGTCAAGAATTTTGTACAATGAAAATTATTGTCTGTCCCTTGAGGTGCAATAATTTTTTTCTGCATACAATCTATACTGTTGTGCGGACTGGACTCACTTTTCTGTGTCTCGTAAAACCACAAAATGTCTGAATTAATGGGAGAGAGAATTTATGGATGTGATCAGCTTCTTTATTTAGAGGAACACAACGTTTCGGTGTATGTGCTTACTCCTTTATCATGTGAATTCACCTGATGAAGGAGTAAGCATGTACTCAGAAATGTTGTGTTCCTCATGATAAAGAAGCTGATATCCATAAACTCTCTCTTTTGTCTATCACTCTAGTCATGCTGACAATGAATTTCCAATAAGTGAACATTTTTTCAGAAGAAATAATATACTATAATTGATGAATTATATCAAAATATTATTATATATTATAATGTTGTGTGTGCGTGTTTCGTTATTTTTCGTAACCTAAGTATACTTTAAGCATGTTTATCCCTTGTGTTGCTTGTCAGGATGTTAACATTGATGCCCCAATGTTCTGGGGAAATATTTCCATCAAACGGGTTTGACAAGCTGGCTGGCACATCATGGTATTGTGAGATGTACGAGGCTGAAAGGCTTAGGTAATTAGACTGGCGGACCATGTTGCCGGGGGATGCTCACCTGCTTCAACACTGACCACTGTCACCAGAAACACTGTGTTTTATTTTTTGCATATTACTTTATTATTTTTACATATTATATTTTTTACATATTTATCAGTTAGCTTAAGTTGATTGAAATCAAATAGATTTGTAGCTGAATAGTTTGTGTTTTGTTTGGGATATAGTTGTCAGTCAGGCTCAGTGGGAGTGATTGCTAGTTCTGTATAAAGTGCAAGATGTTTGTGAATAGTTGACATGGATGTGTATTTGAGTTCTCTGTATTCAGGTGTTTCCCATGGTCAAAGGCTACATATATATACATGCATTGGGTTGGTCATTGTTATACCCCGCCACAAAGTGGGGTGGGAACATAGGAAAAGAGTTTATCCTTCTGTCCATCTGTCCAGTTCTCAAAGTGGACAAATTTTCTTAAAAATTATTGAAGTCAGAGAAATGAAATTTCACACACTGATGTAACTGGTCATGATCCTAAATGAGTTTGAAGATTGTGAGTGCGTGTTATTGACCTTTCTTTTCATGCTTTTCAACTTAGTGTCTACTGCATGGAATGAAGACAAGTGTTCTCAGAAACTACTGAAGTTACATAAATGAAAGTTATCTAACAGCAATCTCATTAAAATCTGATCTTAGTTCTTGCTACCGCTTAACAAAGATCTGAGGACATCCCATTACAGGTCGCGTCAAACCGACCTTGCGCAAACTTTGATCGCCCAATGGAATGACCAATCAGAGGGCAGCTTTCTCGTGCTTTAAGGCACAAATTTCATATTTTGACAAATTCTCGATTACAAATTGAAACCTAACAAAACACATTCTGGAATGGCTAATAGATGGTCTAGATTGTATGGATTCAGTCATTAAACCCGTAACCATCGTTCGGAATACCCCATATTAAAGTTTTCGAGATTGCATGATTAGAAATCTCATTCCGACTGTCACTTTCATAATCTGGTAAGCGATGCACTGATTGGTCGGATGAAAGGTCGTTCTGACATGACCCCTAATGGGATGTCTTCAGATCTTTGTTAGCAGGAGCGTGAACTAAGGTCTGATTTTAATGAGATTGATCTAAAAGATACTGAGTTTGAAAATTGGTCACATCAATTTTTTTTACAGAGTTATGTCCCTTGATCCATGTTATTTTACCTGGTGTATAGTGTGTATAATGTTTTTCTAATCTGTCACAGGAATATTAATTGAAATCAACCTTTTTTATTTTATTTTCTGATCGTGGATTATGGCCCTGTTTGAAATCCGTAAACTGAATTCTTTTCAGACATGTTTCCTAAGCTGTTTCAAAAAGTAACTAGCATTTGTAAAGCATCTACTTGAAGGTTCCACTTGATGAGAGCATCTCACACTATACATACTTAGTTATTATACCCCCGACCTTTGAAGGTATTTAGTTAAACATGTACCAAGGTATTCTCTCAGTCCTTCTGTCCTTCCGAGGTGTGCAATCTACTACTTGAAAACTACTGCATAGATTCTTTTCAAACTTGAACACTTTCAAAACCTATCGGGGAGGCGCAATGCTAAGTTTGATTTCAATGTTTGGACTTTCTGTAAAAATACAGCTATTATTAATTCTTTGACTTTATTTTAATACTTAGACATTTATGCAACCTATAACTTAAACTACGGCATGGATTCATTTCAAATTAAGGGAACAGTTTCCATATTAATAGAAGAGGTGCACTGCAATTGGTTTTAATATCTGTATTTTCTGAAAAAATATTTAAAAAATTCATGTTTTGAACTTAAAATTTGCTTTTAGTTCAACATTTGTGAACTACTTCATGGATTCTTTTCCAGTTGGGCTGCAGTTTCTATGGATACCTGTAGGGGTGCAGTGCAAAGTTTGATTTGATAAATGGATTTTTTTTTTTTAAATATTGCTTTTTTCATATTTTGAACTTAGAAGTATGTTTAGACTTCCAACCTACAATGCGCTAGTGCATCTTTGCGTCATGTTGTATGATTGTGCTTTTTAAAAGAAACCAGCTCAAAATCAATAAATCTCCAATATATAAATTTTTCTTCAGTTGATGTTGGAGTCGAGTTCGGGGTTATTGGTGAGCCCTGCCAACTATTTATCTTGTTACGATTGTGACATGATTTTTCGGCTACACACGCTGGTGACAGTTTGAATATAGCACTGATTATGTAAGATGTGAAGTTGCAAATAAGGAAGCATTATGAAAGGGTTGTACCAGTAAAGCACCATGTTGTTGTTTGTGGATGTTGAATATGTACAACATACCTGTATGTTTCCTCTGAAGTTCATTGACAAATGCTGGGAGTGCATTAATCATGTTCAGTTCTTACACAGAAATTGAAAGCATTATAACATTGATATTAATGGCTAACTGTGAGTATTGGCCCATGCCAGGCATTGTTTGGTTAGTCGTGTGTTGAGTTTTGTGTTGTCAGCAAATTGATTATCTGCACTGTCCAAGGCAACAGCTTGATGCTGACACAGACACTGTAGGGAGCACAGGAATGTAACAAAGATGATCCCCCGGCATATAATATATAGTCAACGACTCGTCTGTCTGTCCATCCGGCCATTCATCTATCTGTCCATCAGTAATTATTTTCAGAGTGTAACTTGAAAAATGTTCAATATTTTTCAACCAAAATTGGCAGATATATCAAACAGCTCCTGAAGAATTTTGACATTCTTATTTTTATCCATTTCCATATCAAAACTTGAAAACTGTGAGAGACTTTTCATCCAAACATGATACATATATTGACCTGGGGGGGGGAAATGGTGCCTTGTGCTATTTAAGAATGTTTTCAAAATGTGATTTTTCCCTGTTTCCATTGAAACAAGTTAGACTTAGCTGAAATGGAGGTAGGTGTCGTTTCAGGAACAGAAGTAAAAACTGTTCAATATTTTTCATCTGAACTTGGAACATGTATTAATCAAGGGCTGAAGTAGTGCCTTTTGCTATTTAGGAATTAAAAAAGAAATCCTGTTTCCAGGGCAACAAATTTGACTTTGCCTCTGTTCACAGTGGTGTGTTTGTCCAGACCATATCTCTGAAACTCTTTCTTAAAATTGTGCACAAACAAAGACCAGGTTGTCAACTGATGCCTTTTGCTATTTAGGGATTTTTAGAATTTATATTTTTTTGTTTCCATGGCAACAAGTTTGACTTTGCCTCTGTTCATCATAGTGGTGTCCACATTCTATTTAGCATGATCAAATATATATGTTACACTCAATCTGTACAGCTGCCCATTGCAGGCAATACAGCTTGCCCAATGCATGTAATGGACAGTGATGTGTATGAGTTTTAAGATCTTATTCACAGAAGTCAAAAGGACTAAGTTATTTTATAATTTTCAATTCCCCTGAACAATGATCTTCTCTGAACTATATCTCCTCACAATATCATATTTCTGCTTCCAAGCATAGTTTGGGTTATGTATAACTGACCTACAGTGTATTGTTTGGATATCAATTTGCCTGAATGTATGAAACAAGGTATCCTTTTAAAAGGTGTTCATTGTATTACATTTAGTTGCAGTTGGCAGTTGCACAGATTGGGTGTAACATGTATACAATTAGACACAGCTCTGCTTTGAACATGATGTAGTTTTCCTGGTGTCCCCTTCCTCATCCTGACACAATTTAAAATTTGCTGGTACAAGCTGAACATGCTGACAAATACCATA